CCCCCCCCCCCCCCCCCCCCCACAGACGGCTCCCTCCGTCTGTCGTTGTCTGTCTCCTGCAGGCGTCTGCTGCTGATCCGCAGTGCACTTCGGTACCTGCACCGAGACACCTACGAGCAGCTGCCAGGTGTGTTGTGTGTGTGAGGGAGAGAACCACACGCACGGCAAACACGCCATTTTTCCCCTACATGCTCACATGCCTGTCTGTGTGGTGGGCGTGACATTGGTCAGACCGCGTCCGTCAAGCGCTGCGTCGTGTCCACCGGATTGAGCTGCCGAGGAAGCCAACCAAGAAGATCGCCTTTGTGGAGAAGGTGGGCGGCCGCACACTCACGAACGGACAGACGGATGGACAGGCGGACATGTCTGCTGGTGTCTGTCGGTGTTTGGTTCATTCAGTTGAGCATGGCCTTGACGAAGCTGCGTATAGCGCACCACAAGTACGCCACTCGCGGCCCTCTGACCTTCGACATTCTCGAGAGGGACCGCAAGCTTGTGTGGGAATGCGCCACGGTGGACAGGTCAGACAGACAGACATCCACAGAGAAATCGGTCTGCCCTTCTGTGCGCAGCTACTGTTTGGTCATTCATTATATCTTCTGCCACTCAGGTTTTACCTGAGCACCTTTGACAAGATAGCGACGGCCCGTCTGAATGAGCGGCTGACCAAGGCCATGGGCTACCGAGTGGCCAGGACCAACCACTGGCAGTGGGGACGAATGAAGTGAGCAGACGGACAGGCAGACAGATCAAGGAGAGAGGGACAGAGAGAGGGACGGATGTGTGGACGTGTGTGCGTGTTGGTCAGGGCGAAGCGCAGCCGCATCGAGTATGCGCGAATGGCCCGGTACTATGCTCTCCGAGACAGAAGGTGCGTGTCCTCATTGCCAGGCAACACAACCACAGACACACAAAGAGGGCGGCCGTGTGATGTGGTGTGTGTGGTGTGTGCAGGGAGTTTGAGGAGTATGAGGGCTGGACGATTCCCTACCTGCATTACCTGCACAAGAAGGCCAAGAGCGTCCACCACGAGGGCTACTTCTACAACTACATCCCCATGGGACACTTCAAATACTGACAGACTGACAAATGGAATGGCCAGCTGGCACTCATATGGGGCACTGACTGCACCTGCTGGGGTTGGCTTGGATGAGCCCGTCATGGCATGAGTGACGGACGTGTGTCGGGTGGATCGTGGTTTGGTTGACGAGGAAGAGCTGCTGGACGCGTCATCGATGACGCTCACGGGATGACGCTCCCGGCCGCTCATTCTCTCTAGCCGAAGCTCGATACACTTGACAGACAGACAGACAGATAGACAGAGCCGCCTTCCGAGAGAACTGGACACTTGTGACGGTGCAAGAATTGCACATTGGATTGCGCCAAGCTGGCGGCTGGGTAATGTGTGATCGATTCTCCCTTTTCTCTGCAACCAGCCTTTGTCTGCATAAATGGTGGCGGTGTTGCATTGCATTGGTCGTTGCATGTCGTGTTGTGGTTGGCTGGCTGGGTGACTGACTGGCCGCCCGACCTGATCGATGCTATGCTCCCTCTCTCTGTGTGTCTGCTGCATTGCATGTGTGTCGTATCGTCAGGCATGCAAAGCCATCTATGGCACAAACGGAAAGGGACACGCCCTTCACTTACTTGGCCACTTTGGCCAATCGTAAACTATGGCATGCATGTAGGTTTCGAGAAAGATTGTCCCAACCAGAAGGAAAGGATCATGCGGGGACACGGGAGTCTTCCGCATTATATTCATTCTCCTTGTCCCGTCCCTCGGCAGAGCAGTCTGTTCAGTTGTTCCCTTCTTCCATCCCTCTCTCTATTCAATCGCAAGACAGCTTCATCGTGCCCCAAGATGATGGACATCGAGTCAGGCGCCAAAGTGCGAGAGCGCACGGCTTCCGAGACCACCGACAAAGGCCTCGCACACGGCCACCACAAGTTCCCCGTCGTGGCCGTTGTGGCACTCGCCGCGATTGCTGTGGCCGTGGCTGGATTGGTCGTGGGAGCCGTTGCCCTGCAGAAAGCCGTCTTCAAGGAGACTGCCACGGACGGCGTGGTGAGTGCAGTGCATGGCAGATCTATCGAATACAGACAGGGAGAGGGAGGAGGGCAGGGTGTGTGTCGATGACTGTCTGTCTGTCTGTCTGGTTGTGTGTGTTTGGTGTGTGCAGATGGTGCACATGACGGCGGGAGCGGACGATCAGCATCGGGTCCTGCAGGCTTTGTGCATGGCCAACCGCATGGTAAGCACACGAAAGAGCGGCTGTACACTTTGCTGCCCACACATGAGCGTGTGTGTGTGTGTGTGCAGGTCGACGCGGGCAAGGACGTGATTGTCTTCTGCGATGTCGACTGCCCCCCGGTGATGGCCAAGACTGCCGAGGACTTCACGATCGAGGAGGCCCCTTGTGTGGCCGACACATCCAAGAGTGGTCTGATTGACAAGCTGGTGGCCAGGGGGGTGCCGATCTCTGTGTGCCCGGGGTGCGTCGCCAAACACGGCCTCTCGATGGAGGACCTCAGAGACGGTGTTGACGAGGTAACCAGCCACACACACACACAGGGGACGGAGGGAGGGAGGGAGGAGTGCATCATCGATGACCATACGTGTGTGTGTGTTTGTGTATGTGTGCAGCACGACGCCAACGAGTTCTTCGCCTTCACGGAGGGCCGGATGCTCCATTTCGACTACTGACTGATTGTACAACCAGCCAGCCGCGTGTGTTGCGTTGGGTGGCTCTCTTTCTTCTTTGCTATGCGTGTCAGTCGTGTGAGCCACCCTCTCTCCCTCTCCTCCCTCTCCGACACACAGCGCTTCTAATGTGCTCTTTTTGGTGTCTGCGTGTGTGTGCCCATACGGATGGCTGGCCATTGGGGCGCAGCGCATATGAATGGGCCCGGTGGGTGCGTCAGTCAGTCACTCACTCACTCAGCCAGGGGTGTAGTGCGGCACAGGGGCGTGTGTGACCGACCGCTTCCGAGTGACCGCTTCCTTTGTCCATCGCCCATTCACAGAGGGGCTGTGTGCTTGGGCGATGGACGGCAGGTCACGTGACAGGTGCTCTCGTGTGTGTGTGTGTGTGTGTGTATGTGCCCTTTATCGTATGCGCGTCGTGTGTGTCCTTGCTCTTTTTATATATATGTGGATCACGATTCATGGCGCTTCATGTGGCTCTGTGGCTGCCATGCCATGGGTGTGGCGCGTTTCCGTCCGCAGGACTGATCGACGGATGGGCCACTGTGTGTGGTGTGGTTGTGGGTGTGGGTGTGGGTGTGTTGTGTGCCCATGCGGTTGTGTGCATGCCGCACGGATGGATGGATGGATCGGCGGCTGACAGAGACCTGCAATGGATCGGATTGCTCGGTGAGGGAGTGGGTGGATGATGGACAATATGATTACTGTACATATGAAACCATTCAATTTCCCGCAGCACGACACCCCACACATGAATGCCACCAGGCGGCCAGACAACCAAAACAACCAAATACAGTACGGCTCTGTGCATGCCTCTAAATCGATGCCAGTGGAGGCAATATGTGAATGTGTGTGTGTGACAGACATATACAAGAGAGAGAGAATGACATCAAAGTCCGTTTGATTGATACCGTCCATAAGGATGTCTGTCGCTTCGCATGAATCGAGCCATCCGTTCGTCCAGCAAGACAGACACATAGACACGAATGAGTCGTTCCACACAAGGACCACCGACACAGCAGCAAGGAACTCATTGGCGCACCAACAGCTCACATGCAGTGGACCCTTTGCTATACATCGCACTTATCTGTGCTTTTGCATTCTATGTGCGTCTTGTTTGCTTGGAAGTGTCTCCTTTCTCATGCCATGACGCCCGAGCCGCCATTGCCGCCGCGTGGCGTGGTAGCGGCCGTCGACGAGCCCGACACACACGAGGCCTTGGGGGGCTGCACCACAGCCTTGGCGCCAGCCTGACATACATGCAGGACACATCAGCAAAGAAAGCAACCATTGCAAAACGACGCATTGATAGCCACCGCATCCACGCCCCGCCTGTGTGGGTGCACCTGGTTGATGTCCGTGTCGATATCCTTGATCTCCTTGACCTTCTTGCCATCCTCACCGTTGCATGCGCAGCCCTCCTTCCCGGCACCGTTCGTCGCCGCCGCCTTCATCGCCATGGCATTGCGGCGCTTCATGAGGGTAGATCCGGCGATGGGGCCCAGCGTGATATCGGTGCGGTGCAGCGACGGGTTGAGCCGCGAGTACGTGGGGATGTGGGGCGTCAGCGGGCTCTCACACTCAGCCGCCATCGGTGCTGTGGGGCGAATGCAGAGCCAGACAGATGGGACCGAGGACACTTGAGAAGATAGAGCGAAAGCAGCCAAAAGGGACACAATTGAACCGCGAGAACGTCACGCTCCACTTCATCGCCTTTTTGTCTCGACTTTCAAGCTCGCGCAGGTCTCTCCCGAGGAAACGCCCGACGTCATCGAGTGCTGCAGGTGACACCATCGACTGTAAATTCAATCAGGTGCATTTCACGTCGTGAAATGTCTTTTCATGTGCAGGAGGTGACCGGCCAAGCTGGCCGTTAAGCAATGCAGTGGACGCATCGTTTCAAGCGAGAGGTGTGATGGGTTGGTTGTGGATCGAAATTGAGACACTCGTGCAGACAGACATGAATCAAACGGTCCAGCCGCCCATGCACACCAGTCCATCCAAGCAGCACATAAGTCAGTCTGTCATGTGCGCACAAGGCCACACATGTCTGCCGCTGCCGTCGTCGCAATGGCTCCTCCTCTTCTCACTCACTCAGCCCGACTTCACCTGCAAAACATCCATCCATCCATCCATTCACTCATTGGGCTTTCGTCGTATCCAGGCACTCACGTGATAGATTGCGATCTCCTTGGCGGTGGAGCTCATGCCCGCCGCCAGGGTGCCGTCGCCGTCGTCGTTGCGTCGGCCGAGGTAGCCATCGGGAAGGTCGTCCTCCTTGACCCACTGAAGCATGCTGCGCACGTCAGCTGTCGGGCCGGGGCTGCCGAAAGCGAGCCGCAGATACCCGTCACCCAAATACACCTGCACACATGACATGTGACAGCCAGTCAGGGGGGTTCAGTGCCATTTACTGCAGTGACACTAATTATGTGTGCCCTCCACCCACCTTGCCGCGGGAGTCCATATTGGTGGCCTTGATGAAGGCGTCGCGGCCGGCGACCTCGACCACCTGTTGAGCCTCGGGGATGGGCACCTTGGTGACTTTGGCGTACGCACCGCTGATCGAGATGAGGAAGTGGGGCACCGGGTATTCATTCGTCTGTGTGGGGTCGGCGCACGGCATGAGTTGTCCCTCGAGGAAGGCGCCAAATCGGTGTGTGTCGTCGTGGTTGACGAGGAACAGCAGACCGCTCGCATCGCCCACCTTGTCGACCATCGTGCCGAAGTCACCACCGTCACGCGTCGAACTGACAGAGAGCAAAGGGCAGAGGGGAATGGAGTGACATTGCGAGAGATCAGATGGTCGTTTCTGCGTACCTGTAGAGGAGTGTCATTGAGGGCTTGGGTATCTCCGTCATGGCCAGCACCTCACGCGTCTCCTCGAAGGTGAGCAGTGGGGCCGGGGGCCGATAGACGTCCTCCATCTTGAGGCCATACATCTCCACATCCTTCTGCACACAC